GTGCAGCTAGACCTGTTTTAATTACTCTGAAGATATGCCAAGGCTCTTCCTCTTGGTGTCTGTTTTTCCCAAAAGCCTGTTTTAGAATGTAAGACTCTTCATGACAAATTTGTTTTATTTCAGACTAAAATTTTAAGGTATCTGAACTTATGTATTTTTCATCAATGTTATATACTATGGAATTTATATTTAAAAACTATGCTCCACAAGCCCACCTTTTCTAACAGTGCAGCTTTGCATACAGCTCAGTATGCCTTTTCCCTTTCCCACACATCACCTTGTGGGTTCTGTGGTTTATATCCTCTGTGGCTAAATCCCTTACCTTGTAGGAGTAATTATTGCTTCTGCCTCTGCTCCCTTGCAGCTTAGATGTATTCTGGTGTTTTCACAGAACTTGTGATTGGTCTCTCAAAATTTCATTTGTTGCTTCCTGTTTTCTTTGTTGACATTTTGTGGAATCCCAAATTCTGTTGGAGCAGTTTCACTGTTAGTTTGTTATTCCAAGAAATCTGTCACTCACAGTAATAGGACTGATGCCTTTCCTGAGTACTGAATAGTGTGTGGTGCTGTATTTTTTTTTTTGTGATACACTGTTCACAAGTGCTTTGCATACAGTTACAGGATTTTACTAGAACAGGGAAGTCTGGAGTGTGAAGATGAGCAGTTTTATTTCCAATTACATTATTATGGTGTTCTGATTGTTGCAGTGAAATAGGCAGTGATATCTCAATGTCTGAATCCAACCTACAAGTGACTGCACCATTCTTTACCTTTATTAGGAAGGTGGGGATTTTGTTTGCTTCTTTTAAGTACCCTGAAATTTTCACCAGCAGAATTATTCAGATAAATGTCTGTTAAGCTTAGTTTTTTCAGAATGAAGTAATGAAAGGCTTCAGTTGCAATTAAATATTGTCTGCTATTTAAGGAGAGAATTACATTCTTTCACAAGCTTGAGATGAGTGCAGTCTATCTGCTTCATGCTGTGTCTGCAGCATCAGCAGGCACTATCAAAGATTTAGGAAATTACAAGGACTTTAGCCAAAAATCAGCCATTAGAAGAGCACTAACCTTTCTTATGGATATCTGACTTAATTATCAGTTCTCTGCAAACCTTGTTACATCAAATCGTAATAGTTCAGTGCCTCTTATAGTCAGTCCAGCATTTGCCACAGTTGATATGGGATCTGAGTTTTTGCCTTCCCCATCTGTGAGAAGGTGGTTGAAGCATTGCAGCAGAAGCAGTAGTTTGGTGCCAGGTTGATCATATGCCCAGGAGGAATCCTCTCACCTGTCCTTCTCACTAAGTATGGACTAAACAGCTGCTTAAAAAAAAAAAAAATTAGCTGTTTGGCAGTTGCGTTTTGCCAGGCTGCCATTCCCTGCATCTTCCAAGGGAGGGTAGTTGGATGGAAGGTGCCTGAAGTCTGTTCTTTGGCCCATGCCTGGTTCAAAGATCCCATGCCATGGAATTGTGACCATAGTTGTCCATATTTTGAGCTTCAGACAAACACTTGGTAGTCAAGAGTCAACAAAACAAACATAAAAGGAAACAGTTATTTACTTGTGATAAGACTAGTAATTTTTCTTTCGTATTACTTTCTACTGACTTTCTAAATGTGCTCTTTTAGACTTGCTGGGAGATAGGGATAGATTAGTAAGAGAGCAAAGGAGCTTCCTTAGGAGGTCTGCAGGAAACTTCTGGATGTTGCTGTTTTTCCCATCTTGTTTTTAGTGTCTTCTCAGCTTTTAAGTCCTCTTTTCTTCTCTTCTTCCAATGTAATATTACACAGATTTAATGATTAGTTGCAACTTCATCCCTTTTCATACATACAGTTGTATAACTATCCTAATTAAATATGTGCATGGTAAAATTGCAAGCTATAAAGAGCTGTCTGGGCTTGGATGATAGTAATTAAATGATTTATATTTACAGGCATCAATATTTATCTTATGCCTACTGTCTGTCCTAGCTTGTCATCTATGGTTGAGTGTGCAGCTCATTGACTTTAGTATTCCAGCTTCTTTTCTTTGGACACTGTGTTTTTGGCTGAGGAGAGTATTGCTTTTCGTAAGATTATGTAGTAGGACCATATTCTAACTTTTACAAATACTGTTACTTTTTTCTGTGCTCACCTGAGGATTTTTTTTTTCTGCTTAAGTTTCAGAAATGCAAGGTTTCAAGGTGCTTAAAATAAATGAGTCAGTGTCTCCTTCTGCCCCCAATTGTTCTCAAACAGGCAGCTCTTGCTAAAATTACTTAGGGTGATGCCACTGACAAAAATACGGATGAACCAAGTCCCAGTTTCCACTGAGCTTCAGTATGTTAAACAAGCACAATTTATTTTTCTTTTCTGCAGTTCTCCTTGGCTCTCACAGGGTCAGAAGCAGCAGTAGCACTTTGGCTGTTCCCAGTTGAATCATTTGGATGCAAATCACTTTGCAGTGATGCCAGAGGTTCCCTTTGTGCTGGGCTGTATATAAAATGCATGACAGATTGTCAGCTTTGTCACATTCCGTGGGCAGCGGGGAATAGGTAGAAGCTTCAGCTTTTGATTCAGATAGAACTTGACTAGTATCAGAAGATCTTAGTCAGCTTGGCTTTGCAGATAACTGTAAATCATGTCAGAATGCTACATTGAGTGCTTCTGACCTATATCTTGATACTAACAATTCCTCAGTGCAAATAAACATCTACTAGGGAGCTTAGCAGAACATGTGCTGTGGGAAGTACAGTCCCCCTGCACCCTTCCCTGCCTTTCTTCACTATATAAACTAGATATGAAGAACAGAAGTAAAGCCTAGGGAAAATACCAAGCAGTATTCATTATCTGCTCTTGATTGATCTTGCACCATCTGAGCTGCAGGGGTTTTGGGTTGCAGGAGCATGTGCTGCACCTATGTACAGAATCTTGCAGGAAAGGTGACTCTTGTCCTGTTATTAAGTGCTTCAAGTCTGGGCAGGGACTGTCTTCCAAACTGGACAAAAAGGAATCCAAGTAGATTTCCTCTGCAAATAAAGCAAGTGGTGGATTTTTACTCTGTTTCTGAGCTTTACTGCCTATTAAATATCTCGGATAGTTTACATGAAACCAAACTCAGAATGTCTTGAACTGAAGTGTGTCTGGAGGGCTGAACTAAAGTGGACCTTGTGTGTATCTGTGGTATACTAGTGATTAAATAAGTTGTATTCATAAATTGTGTTGGGTTTTGGTTGCTGTTCAGACCTTTGGAGTTATTGTGGCACTTGTTTCAAAAATTCTCATTCAGAAGGAAACACTAAACGTTCTTTTGCTATTTAGACCCATGTTACTAGAACAAGGTGTAAATGTCTTTACCATTTCAGTTTTAAATAAAGAAAAGTTGAAATTTGGGGGGGAAAAAACAATTTTCGAGCTGTAGAATGTTTTTAAGTTATTATGCAAACCTTAATTTCTGAGACTATCAGCTTTGATTCTTCCAAGGAGTTCTGTCAGCACAATCTGCAACACCAGTGTTGGGAAACTTGCTCTGAAAACTGAGGATAGTGATTGTAAAAGTTACTGTTTGGCATGGTGAATAGAAAGAGCAATGAGATAATATTTAAGACTATTACACAACTCCATTAAAGCCCCCATTTTGGAAAATTATGTATCTGTCTGGGTCTGTCACCCTGACTTACTGTGCCCTGAGTTTCAAAGATACTGCTCTTTTGGGTCTTCTACATCATCTTGTGGATACAATAACTTCTTAAAAATCAGATTTTGATTAAAAGACTTGGAACAAATTACTTGTGTTAAAATAAGACCTCAGGTTCTCTCTTCACTGTCACACTAGCTTCTTGGTAACTTAAATCCACTCTAAATCCAGAATCTCGGGGCTGAAGTCACTTGCATTATACAGTTCCTCTCTAAAGGAATGTGAATTGGAGCAAGCAGATGGAGCAAACAGATGAGCAGACTTTGTAAGCATTTTGAAAATAGGTCTTGAAAGGGGTTTTAGTATAGGAAGCAAATAGGACTGGATGAGTAAGAATGGCACTCATAGGCTCTTTTTCTGGCTTTGGTTTTTCTATAATCTTTGCTTTCTCTGAACTTAGATCAAAATTTCCCTGAGTTCTAGATTTTTTTTTTTTTTTAAATGGGGCCTCTGCTTTTAAAACACAGCTGCTCTCTTTGCTCTGCAGGAGATTTCGTTCTTTTTCAGCAAGTCTTGTGGTTTAATTCTCTTATTATACTTGTACCAATAATTTTCTCTTTAGGACAGGAGGTAGTCTAGAAGCAAGACACTACAAAAACCAGATGGGCTACACATTCAAAATGGAGCTGATGAAGCTGACAGCCTCTTTGTGATCTTAACAAGCGTGTCTTTGTATGGGTGATAAAATCAGCACTCAAACTTCTGCCAAGTGTTCTTCATTTCTCTTCTACTTTGCAGCCAGACTTACTTGCTTTACTTTCACTTCTGTCTGAAGTGATGTAGGTAGAAGTTTGGCTTTGTTGCTTCTGTGCTGGAACTGTGACTTAAGGTCCTTGACAACCTTGGTGGCATGTGAAAGCCACATAGCCATGCAGGGGAACTTCCATAACTGTCCAGAGCAACTTGTACATAGCACTGTGTATACTAAGACCACTCTAGAAATCTTATTGAACTCATCTTCTAAATGTTTTTCTGTGTGTTACCTATTTAGGTATTCACAGCTTCCAATCTGGAACAAATGTACTTTTTAAAGCTAGTTCAGACTGCACACGGTAATTATAATGTGGGAAGTACTGTATAACCACCAGTAGAGATCTGTTACTATGTGTGGAGCTGCAGACAGTTTGCATGTTAATGCCCTAATTTTAAAATCTGGGTTTGAAGGACAAACCATGAGTTGAGTACCCAGTAGCATGTTCCATGTGCTATAGATGATTTAGATTAAAATCTCTAAATTGTCAAATGGCTTTGCATTTGGAAAAATCTTTTAAGTGGCATACGGTTTTGATTCTAAATGTAAACTAAGTATTTTTATCTTTTTACAGGAACTGGAGACATTGTTGCTGTCATGATTACAGAATCAAAGGTTAAGGAGATCCTGAATTACTTGGAAAAGAATATCTCTGTCCTGATGGCAATAGCAGTGGGTTCCCGTGTTCCTCCAAAAAACTTTAGTCGGGGCTCTCTAGTCTTTGTGTCGATATCATTCATTGTTTTGATGATAATTTCTTCAGCATGGTTAATATTTTACTTCATCCAGAAGATCAGATACACAAGTGCACGTGACAGGAATCAGGTAAGGGGACTCCTTTTTTTCTCTTAAATTCTGGATGTGATATTCCTGTATGCAGCAGGCAACAGAAAACGAATAATTTATAAGGAATGTCCATCAAACTAGTGTTCAGAACCTCTTTGTTCCAAGGCAGAGCATGTTGCCAGACAAGGATTTTCATAAAGCAAAGTGTTTTTATCCTGAGCAGCACCAGGCTGTGTTGACTGAATAATACATATTGTATGTATGTTGGAAATGGGGAGGAAAGTTAAATTGTGATTGAACTTGCATGGGGGAACACAGAGCCAGTGTTATGAATTCTATCCATGTTCTTAAGGAGTTTCAGTCATAGTTAAGGTAATTCAGAACTTGTATAAAAGTATTTTCAAACTGTAATCTGTCATGAATGTTAGGGTAAGAAAACTAAGGTATAGAGCTGCTTAGTGATCTATGTTTAACTTTCAGCTTTATTCAAGATAACACTTGGCATGGACTGCCTAATTTTCCTGGTCATGTAATTTAAGTAAAATTTTGTCCAATATGCCTTTTACATTCTTTTCCAGCTCTTTATTTAAGAACTGAATTAAGTATGACCATACTCAGAGATCTTGACTAAATCAAGTCATCAACTCAAATATGCATTAAACTTTAGAAGTAAATGTTTTACTACTGTGGACTTAATGACCCACTGCCTCCATAGTGTGCCTTGGCTTTTATTGAGAAGGGTCAGTAAACCTCTGGGAATCTGCTGTGCTCTCTTTGCCTCAATATTGCTCTATCAAGGCTAACTTACAAAGCTGCTGACCCCTAGTCACTGTTCCCCCTTTCCTACTGAATTACGGCTAATACATAGGAGCTCACTTGTGAGGCAGCACGTTGGTGTTTTGTCAAACTTAAAACAAATGCAAACTTATAAAGCCTCAGTTGTGACAAAGGATTTCCTTTTTAGTTTCTATAAATAGTGTCTGATGCTGCAGGTCCCATGGGCATCCTGTAGATTTTCCTAAGGATGTCATTCTTAAATGACCACACTGTAACTGGTACTTAGTGTGGCCCCTTGGGATGATGAAAGTTTAAATATAACTGTTACTCAATGAATGTCTGTGGAATACTAAATCGTGCCTTCTGCATCCCCTACATGGTTCTAGGCTTCTTCCAAATGACCATGTTTCAAAACAGTTGCTCCATGGGGAAAAGGCTCTTATGACCTTTTTTCTTTCTTTAGATTTTTACAAAAGTCAGGAGAAACTTGATGAAAAATTTATGTGGTTTAAAAAGCTGAGCTTATTAAACTTTAATAAGAAGGTGGTGACAGCTACAGCTTATATTTAAAGAGCTTTGAGAGCTTTCACAGAGAGAAGACTGTACTGTCAGTGATGAAATAACTTGTTTTAGGCTATGATCTTGTTTTTAAGCTATGTCAAGGCACACTTTAAAAAAAAAAATATCAAAAACATGCTGTTTTGTAGATAGTGCAAGTAGATAATGGTATTTCACATCATTACTCTTGCGCGCTTCCGCCAGAGGTATGAAACTCTCTTGCATGTGGTGATGGCCTTTTCCATCAAGACAGTTCTGGGTTTTAAAAGCAAGCGTATGCTGTATGCCTATGCCCTAACTTATCAAAATAGCAAATCCTGGGCACTTCCAATGTTAGCATAAAATATATTTGTTAAAATTAGAAAATGAGAGAGGAATCTCTTAAATGGAAAAGATGAAGGTTGTTTAGCAAATTTATTTATGTAAGAGAATAGGTATACATTTTGGAAGAGTTTTCTGAAACATACTTCCAATAAGAAAATAATACTTCTTCAAGATTTCTTGTAGCACATATCCAATCATATGCAGTATAACTAAATATAACTACTACCCACAGCTACTTGGTTGATAGTATTAAGCATTTAAGTTAAATGCCTTTTCAGCCTTGTTTCCTCTCTTAGTAATCACATTTCTGGTTATGCAATGATTATCTACTCCAGCAGTGTGCCAGGGTATTCTGTGTCGTTAAGTGCTCAGGCTAATATGCTTGTTTCAGGACATATAATTTAGATTTGCTTAAATTGACCAATTTCTCACATGCTGAAGTTAGGATGAGATTTCTGACTTCAGGAAGCATATAATTTCCCCATCCTGGCTCTTTCTGATGCTGCATTTCCTACATGGGTATATTTCAGTACTTGCAACTGAGTATCTGTTTTGTTTTGTTTTTTTTTTTCCCAAATCCATGCTCTTAAAAATATAAGAACTGTTCTTTCATGGAAACCACACAAAAAGAGTGCTTATGTAATTCTAGAATAACAGTGGTACAGTTGGTTGTGGTGGACTTCTGAGCTTTTTGTTTTTCTCAAATAAAAGCAGCCGCCTTAGTTTCAGTTTGTGTGCAGAGGAAGTGCATGATACAGGGGGGTACACTTTATGAAGGATTTGATTTTCCACTGTATAGAAGGTGGGCACAAAAAGCACATGCTTGTTTCAAGCTACAGGGGAAGTTTTGGTAGGTGCAGTTTACTTTCTCAGAAACAGCCCATCTCTTTCAAAGCCAGATTACTTAGTACAAGATGGAGGTGAAGGATGAAATACATGAACTTCCCTTTTCTCAGTCAGTGTAAACCAAATGTGACGTCTCAGGTTCCTGAAGCAAGCAGACATGAGCTTTGTTTGATACCACTTGGTGTCCCGTCTCTGGGCTCCCAGGGACCAGCTGGCAAACAGCCATTCTTCACTGGCTGGGAGCTGGTCATTGCAGTAGGAATCAGGACATGAATTGCCGAAATGGCTCCTTCCATCCAAAAGTGGTGGTCATAAAAATCAGAATAAACAACAAAAAAATACCTTGGCCTCTGCATTCAGATTGAGGTTCATCTTCAAACCAGTATTAATTTCAGCTTTATTTAAGTCTGTATTGGCTTATTTAGATTTTGTGACCCATAATTTTCTTCTTTGTGAGCTCCTGGTGGTTTCAGGAGAGAAACTAGGTTATACTGAGAGGATCTCTTACATCTCAGAATAAGATCAGCCTGCTCAGGGGGAGGGGGGGAAAAATCAAGCTTAAGAAGAGAACAAGGGGTATATTACAGCACACTGAAACAAAAGCTGCATGAACAGAATATAATGGAAATCATAGAGAGGGCATGTTGCTTCAGCTTTTATTCTGGGGGCTGGGTTTCATTAGTTTTGTCACACAGATGTTGGATCACTTTTGTGGACTTCGGTACGGTCCATGAGGTTTATGCCTAGGCTTACAGAGTATATTTGTGGGCTCAACTTTGGGGTGGTTTTCCTTCATGACAAATCAGTGCACTTTGCTGTGTATGCTTTTTGTCTTGTGTTGTCCTACTGCCATAGTCTGAATTGCAACGTTAGTACTGAGCCCAAATAAGTCATTATAAAGGACAGTAATGAAGCTTGATTATCAGGGTTAATTTGTGTTTTTCTTTGTCACTTTATTAGCGTCGTCTTGGAGATGCTGCCAAGAAAGCCATTGGTAAATTGACAACCAGAACAGTAAAGAAGGGTGATAAGGTATAATAATAAGATTTCAACTTGGTAAACTTGAGCATGATATTCAATTTTTTCTGGGGGAAACAATCTCAGTTTTTCCTTTCTGCTTCTGATTTATGACCTTGCCTTCCTTGTTGGAGACTTACTTTTGTCCTGTGGCACAGTACTTTGGGTAACTTTTAGTATTATTGTATGCTGTAAGTGTGTACATTTCAAATAATGTTTTCATGTTTAAACACTACTTGCACTCCATCTGGCAACTGTGACTTGAGAGTGGTTTTGTATACTAGCTGGCTGGGGGTTTTTGCTGGTAGTAGTACCTAGGGCTAACATTATTTATGAGGAATTCTGTAAGCTTAGAATCATTCCATATTTAAGTTTTGTAAAGTAAAAAATAAATTTAAAAGACCGGTAATAAAGGACAATCTGTTATGTAAAATACGAATATCCAGTAAACTAAGCAGGAGTATAAACAGATACTTCATTAAAGATAGTAAATGTTATTCCAAGACTATTTCTTATTGGCATACCAACTAAAGCATATGGTGTGTTGTCCTAAACTTTTTCCACTTTTATGAGCAGTACTGCTTTGTCTTTGATTCAAAAGGAAAAAACAAGTCACTTAATCTTGCTTAATATTTGCTCTTTAATTTGCAGAAGGCAAGGGAATTCTGGCTGTGATTCGATTTTTAAGAGAAGATTATTTCCTTGGGCCTTTTTATCTTTCTTATCAACACTATCGGCAATGGAAGATTAGGAAGCAATGGAAAAATTTGCTTCCAGAGAGAAGGCAGAGAAAAATTCTTTTTGCTCTTTCTCCCTCCTTATGTAGTTTTATTTCAAGATGGCCCACTGTACTAAATCTCTTTTTGTGGGTATGGGAGTACATATAGATAATGGGAACTTTTCCATATTAAAAGAAAAGGTGCTGTCATCTTGACAGCATAAATTCAAAACTGGCAAGTGATGTGTAGGTTGAAGTACAGACAGTGTGATGCACACGCAGGTGAAGAGTAGAAGAAAACCTGTCCTTCATCAGAGCAGCCCATGGGGATTCTCTGCATGCAGCACTGACTGGTGCTGACCAGGGAGCGGCTGTTGTCTTGATGTGGTTCCTGTCTCGGTGTCTTGCTAGTAGCTTGCTGGCATCAGAAAGAATAATGAACTTGAATTAAGAGAAGGCACAATCTGTTTTGCGTCGCAGGCCCAGACATTTTAAATATATATTGCTGATGCCGTGTCTACGTCCATATGAAGTCAGCCTTTTTTCATTAGAAATTTTAAATTCTCCTCTTTAAATAATAATAATAACAAAATCATAACTCCTAGCAAACAGAGAAAAGAGAGGAGCCAGTCAGTTAGTGAACCTCATCTTCATGTCTGGATAAGAATGATGATAATTCTGCAAGTAAGCAGCAGTCAAAAATATGGGACTACTCTGAAATAAGTAAAATTTGCTAGTTCTGATTATAAAAGGAAATCCCAGGATTCTTACTGTGCCAAAAAAAAACTGAATAAAATAGAAGTTTTAGCTCCAAGCTGAAGTAAAGCCTCAAGGAAAATCACCACTATATTTTTATAGTGATTCAACTGAACATTAAAACCATCTTAGGCCTTCTGTTTCAAATGATCATTTACCAGCTTCAAATGAGGGGAGAGAGAGTTTTGTATATATGAAGTACTTTTCTCAAGTCTTATTAGAATATAACAACCCAGTCACTGGTTTTGTATCTTAGTAGCAGTAATTTGGCATGATGCAGTTCATGTACTAGTCACAACTACTTTTACATTTGTCATGGCCTCAACTCTTGACTTGAATTTTCATTCTATTCATTTTAGGAAACAGACCCAGACTTTGATCATTGTGCTGTCTGCATTGAGAGTTACAAGCAGAACGATGTTGTTCGCATTTTGCCATGCAAGTAAGATAATAAAGTTGCTTTGTTTGGAAACTATTATTTCTTTGTTTTCCTTTGCTTCATTTCATGGAATACATGCATTGTAATTCACAGACACATTTGTTAGATGTTTCCAGTCTTAATAACAGCCACTTTATTTTATACTAATATACCAGAAGATGTGAAGGTAGGTGCTGGCACTGTTATGACAGTAGAGATTAAACAAAAGATCATGATCTTGAAGATGGACAGTCTGGGCATATCAGCGGTGGAGCTATTAAGATTGTAAGGGGGGGGGTTGCAATGCAGGGGTACAGATTTAAGGACTGAGCACTGGGCAGACACAAAAAACTTAAGTATAATGCAGCAGGTGCAGCTGCAGCATTCTGCACAGTAGATATGCAACATTGGCTGCTGTTTTCTGAAAGAGTGTAGGAAACAGAAATGCAGTCTTTCCAACCTTCATACCTCCTCTGACATCAATCAGGCACTGTGCTATCATCTGTCTTTTGTCTCTCCAGTGCAGTGTATTCTTTGCTTGTGCATGAAGGTTTGTACCTGCTGGATATTCTGCACTGGTACTTGAAATGTAACAACTTCCTCCACCTTCTATGTGTTCTCTTGACATTTACAGGTTTTCTGTTTGTTTCCATTCCACTTCCATTTTTCATTTGCTTTGGGATATTTGCTCTTTGAGAGATGCTTTTAAGTACTTTTTCACCTGGTGATTAATTTTGATGAATTGGTACATTTTGGTAGCCTTAAGCATTATCAAGGACATCTTTCCCTTATATTCTGAAATGCAAAACTTTATCTCTAGACACAAAAAACACATGTAAGTTATGTTGTATACGTGCAGCCAAGATCCAGTAATTTGGCCTGTGCTTGGTATATAAATAGTGTTCTGCATGATACTCTAGAAGCAACAAAGTCATGGTCTTGGAGTCAATCTTCAGTCATGCAGCAGCAGCATGTAAGAGCTCATTATTGGTCCTCTAAATCCTTCTGCAGGCTGTTCTGAATAGCTGGAATACTTTTCTTTTAATGCATAATGAATTTCTATCATCATAAAAAGAAAACAGCATTATTTTATATCTTATTGATCAAAATATGCGTGCATTCTACTTCTGAAGCCAGAAGTTTAATTCGGTTTACTTTCCTCTATGTTCTTTACCTCTTGGACTGTGGGAGACAATTACTTGTTTTAGATTCTCAGTGTTGTTGTTTAGTTAGTATACCCTACAAATGTTTGTTTAAAAGTTCCCATTAACTAGAAATAGAAGAGTTTGGTCTTAGATCTGTAAAGATTTGGGAGCTTTTGGTCACACAGATGTGTGTACATTTCTTTTTTACAGCTCAGTTATTTTTACTCAAAGACTATGTCGTCTTGCCCTAAAAAAATTATACTCCCAAGTGTTAAGTAAAGATTCCAGAGAGCTACATACTATATTGTAATCTCAAGTAAAGCTTGCATATGTGAATTAAGCCCTAGTCTTTGATTTTTTTTTTTTTTTGTGCAAAAGATTATTTGGAAATTAGAGGAGAAACTTCTGGAAATTGCATGCCAGATTTGGACCACTAAGATAAGTGATTGATAAACTGCCCCTTAAGAAAGCTTTGCTTGTGTAGTTCAGGGTGGTACTGTGAGGCTCAAGTATGTGGAATGGAAGTTCCCAACTCCCACTCCTCTGTGCCTTTCCCTTGATACTGAACAGAGGTCAGACGAGACATCCTTGACAACAAAGAGAGAATGAGTCTTCATCTGGTAGGAAAGAATCTTCTTCCACTAAGCACAAGGCAGAGTTGGGACTAAAAGTCAACTTCCTTAGTTAAACAGCCACTGTCCAGTCAATATGTTGCTTGTATCAGCAGATATGATACAGAGCATTTAACCAAGATGATAATTGATTATTTTTCTTAATTAAAAAAATCATTTGAAGTCCATTTCCTTCAGACACCTTTGAGTTGCAGTCCTGCAGACAGGAAGCTCCCTGCACTCAGGGATAGTTACAGCTGCCTCGGGTTGCTGGGTGATGGTGCACCTGGCTGCCATCTCAGCACAACCTTTCCCAGTACAATCTCCATGTAAAGAAGATATCAAGGCTCTTGTGTAGATCCTTTTCTGTTATGTTTTTCACAAGAATATAAGGTCAGTAAAGCTCAGATTACATTCCTGCTGAAGACTATATGACAACTTTTATGTTCACCTTCTACCTTTTTTTTTAAATATCACTTTTCATCTGCTGCAGCTCAGCTTTGAGTTGAGTGCAATACCATCTTGTCTAGACAGAAAGATTGAGATGGATACTTTCCACAAGACATTTTTATAATTGTAGATGAAGAGCCAACCAGTACCTGCATGGATGAGCCCAGTAAATTTCAGAAATTTCAGATTGCATATAGGACTTTTCAGTCCTCAGCATCTGAGATGCTTTTCCCTGTATCTTGTTTTGGAGTTTTAATCCCTTTACTGATACTACCTGATACTTCAACTTCCTGATACTTCAACTTCTCATTTTAGTGCAACATGCAAAGTCAGTTTTAAAAAAAAAAAAAAAAAAACAAAAACCACAACAGCACCTACACCAAAAAAAAGACCCTATAAGAGAGTCTCTAATCCAGATGAGAAAATAACTTGCAAGAAAACCATGGAGAAAAGGGCTCAACCAAGAGGAAGTAAATGAAAGGCTAGAAGTTTTTCTTACCATGCCTGCTGAGGAAGCTATAATCATTAGACAGTAGAAATCACTGACATATGACATACTTGCTGCTTTCATCAAGTTAAAAGTAGCATTTCCCTTTGGTACCACAATTGTTCTCTGCAGTTAAGTATGGTCTGTCACTCTGTGCCTCAGCAGAGAGAGGAATTTGGTCTGGGCAGATACACAGCAGGCAATACCTACCAGCAGCTAAGTGAGTTGCATTTAAAATTCTGTAGTGAAACACCGTATTTGTGATGTGAAGTTTTGTGGCAGGTGGAAAATTGTGGCAAATTTAAAAATAAACTAAAGTGAAAATGATTACAAATGATGCAGTTGAATTTCTACAGTTCATTTTGTGTTTCAGAGAAATATGTTCAGTACCAGCAGCCTATGGACATACCTATGGCTTTTAGTGCACACAGGGATAAAGCAGCCATCTGTCTAAGGCTTACAAGCCTGAGGAATGTATCTGTCCTTGTGAATATCATTATGTAAGTTAAAAAATAAGTAGAGTAAGCAGATGTCAGGAGGATTCTCACAAAAGATAAACCTCACAAACAGTTTTCTTTATTCAGATAGTTTTACTCTACCATCACACAATTGCATCTAGGAAATGAACAGGCACTAGATGAAAAGTGATCAGGAGCGGGTAGAATGAAGTAGTAGGTAAAGATAAGGGAAGGAGAAAGCAAAGTGACAGGTTAGAGACAAGCAGAGACTGACGTTGGAATGGACAGAAAGATGGCCTGGGAAGGAAGGAATTTACAAGGTAGGAAAAGAATTAAAGGAGTAGTGAATATGTAAAAATAAATGGGTTTTGAGCCAAATTTTTAATTTGTGTACTGAGCAAGAAGGGGGGAAGTGACAAAAATGACTAGGCCAGATATTCATCTGTCTGATTCTGTGCTGCTGCAAATAGCAGCCCCTATTTTTTTTTTTTTTCTTTTTTTGGTTAAGAGCAAATTAAGGCCATATCTCAATGCCATCCTTTCTGCTTACTGCAGTGCCTCAGCACAACCCCCACTTTCTTTGCTACCTGCTTGCGAGGACGGTCTCTCTCTTCCCCCAGCAATGTGATGTATTTGTGGAAAGCACTGAGGCTGCTCTTCCCTGGCATTGCCTGCTAGGGGGGAGACATGGTGCCGTGCCTTCCTCCCTGCCGCAGCAGGCCAGGCATCTCTCCTCAGCTGTGCTAGCTGGGAAGGACCTGTGTGCTGCTTGCCAGCCTGGCTGGAAGGTTCGTAGCCGAGGGTGAGGGGAGTAGCTGCCTCCAGCAGTAGCCAAAGGTGCTACTTTGCAGCATCAGGTTGATCATGTCCCTTTGGTGGGATGCTGCACTGAGAGCAGAGAAGTGTAGTAAGCTCTTGGGAAATACCACTTGTAAACTCATTCAAACCCTTCTCCTTGTATATGTGAATTAGGAGGCCTTACGCCACCAGAAGAGATTTCTAACTCACTTTTTTTCTGTGAAGTGCTGCAAAGAAGCTGTGTTGTACGAGAGTCAGTGTTACGGTGTTTGTTACAAGCTGGAGGGCAACTGGTTTGGATATGCTGACAGAGTGGAAAAATACCTGCAGGTCACCTGTTTGGAGTTATGCCCGCATGGGAGACTCCTTCAGTGCTACCAGCCTGGCTGCCAGCCATGCTTCCTCCAGCCCCAAGGCTGGAGAAGCAGCAAAAGCTGTGTCACACTTGACTTCCCAGTGTGTGGCTCCTGGGGGAACGTCATCAGCCACTGTGACCTAGAGCAACTTGCTAAGAACTCTTCAGATTTATGGTCTTGGAAAACAAGTGACAGAGATACAAAGATGGAGGTTTATGATGGTAGAAAATGCAAGGGCTTACTTTATCAGACTGAGTTTTTAAAATAATTCATGTGTTTATTACCTTCATTGCTGTATAACTGCTTTTTAACTCTTGCAAGTAGAGAAATCCAGACAGAGCCTGAGCCACGATGATGGTATCAGCACGCTTTTAAGGGGGTAGATAAACTGCTTAAGTAGTAGGCAGAGCCATGCTGATCTAAATCAGTAAATAACCTTTGGAGAACTGCACTTTTTTTGAAGCACACTAATAAACATCCTGGAAGGTTTAGGAACTAAAAGCAAAGAATTAAGAGGTCACAAAAACAGTTGAGCTGTTTGGTGCATTTGAACTACATCAAACTGCTAATGACTCTAAAATAACTTATAATATTTAGCAGATGCGTGTTGGCATCCATATCAGTTGCCTGCTTCACTTGATCTGAGTGCTTCTGCAGCACTGATTAGCTGATAATGATATATTAAAGCTGTTTTTATAGTTCTGTGGAGTCTTGATGTCTGCTATTTCCCAAAATATTAGATTTTCAGGTTTGTCCTACTCTAAAAAAAACAGACTTCAGACACTTAAAAGGAAACATAAGCAACTAAAAGCCATGATTTGCCTAACATAGAAAAATAGCATCTCTGTATGTTACAAAAGATTTCAAACCATTTTCTATCACACAGGATTTCTAAACATTGTTTCCTGTAGCTTTGTGAGTAATAAAGGGAATTCATTAAGACCTAATAACAATAGAAGTGAGTCTGTATTTTGTGCAATTATTTGAACAGTAAGCAGTGTATATATCCTGTTTTTCATGATTGCCATATTGCTAAAGAACACAGGCTAGCAAAATGACTAGCTGAGATTCTTTAAGTTTCTATTCCTGCAATATCTGGGATATAAATAAACAAAATTATTTTACTCCATATCCACGTTCTGTTGACTATATTATACTCTGTAAATCTATGTATCTTTAGTTAGTACAGGTAGGATATATAATTGTAGCTGACTGAAATGTAATTATGTTGATATACTTTAGTCCCTCCATCAGTCTTAGTAGCCATAGAGAAAACATAATTATATACTGTCTTTTTTCATGTTTGTTAACAATTTCAGGAGGCCTTTCTTTCAGGTTGCTTTCCAGAGATTAAAGAGAAATATTTGGTAACATGCCTCATTTGGTCTCTGGTTTTAAAATCCCAAGGAATAGGGAGCAAAGAAGCCCCAGACCCCATGATGAGCCTGCTGAGGCATAGAGCAGCAAATATAAGCTGAGAAAGGTGGGACTGAAGGTATCTCAACTTCATGCTGCCTCAGGGGCATGCATGACCTCTTACAGACGGTGCTGATGCCTCAAATAGGTCCAAGAACTCCTTGTTCTGCCACTGCCCCCTTGCCTGCTGGTTTCAGAGCACAGCTCTTCGCTGGCTCAGCAGCCCTTGTAATTGCTGGTCTTTGTCACCATCACCAGTCTGTCGTGTTCAGGTGTGCCTACTCTTACTGGCTTTTTGCTCTTGCGGTCAGTGCCGCTGGAAATGAACGATCTGGGTTCTTATCATAGGCAGTTATTCAGACTCAGCTATTATGAGTATTTGTAAAGCTGCATTGTGTAGAAAATCTAGTGATACCCATTTTTGCCATGAATATGCTCTGAAAAGTTCTTTGGCTTTTGAAAAGCCAAGAGGACATTTCTTTTAATTCCTTTAATTCAGATACATGGTTTTGATCTCTTCATAGTCCTTCGTTGTTATACTGGTTTATATCAATCCCAACACTGCTAGATTTATATTTGTGTATGTGATTAAGATTTTTGTATGCAATGTATGTAGCAAATCAGCCTGTTTTCTGTTGCAGAGTTCTGTGCTGTGCAAGTAGAACCCCAGTTTGCCTTTTCATCTTTTAAAGATTATTTTCTCTTTTTTTTGACCATCATATGGAGATAGACATGTTTTCCTTCCTGATATCAAGAAATACTGATTGTAGGAAAAGCCTTCTTTTTACTTATACGGGATAATTATAAAAGCCCTTTCAAAATCAAATGTAAGTGTGTTTGGGTTAGTTGCACTGACTTTTGAATAAAATTGACTGCTGGTGGACCTGTGCTCTTCCTAACAAATTCATGGCCAGGTTCTACACAGAAAATGAGACAAGACTTTACACAAAGTTACAGTGAGGACTTTGTTACCATAGTTATTCTGCCCATGTGCATACTAATATCCACAATAAAAGGAAGAGAAAAAAAAATAATAAATCTTCCTTTTAAGTGTTTCTTCTTAGTTGAACTATTAGTAAAGGGTGGCAACAACAAGCAAGAGTTTATGATTTTTTTCTTACTGCAGTCAGCACAGAATACTGGCAATTCTAGACTCCATTCTGCTGGCTTAATTAAAAAAGAAACACTCTAAAAGTTTGTTAAAGTAGTTCTTGTGGTATAAAATAGAATTGTTTGCAAATTATATATATGCCTTGTCTGTTCTTCTAGGCATGTTTTCCACAAAGCCTGTGTGGATCCATGGCTTAGTGAACACTGTACGTGTCCAATGTGTAAACTTAACATTTTGAAGGCACTGGGAATTGTGGTAAGTTGCACTGTTGTGAGCTCTTCTTCCTCCCATGTCTGAGACACAGAACAGGAGGTGTAATTGTAGAGGAGAGGGGGGGAAGGGTGTTCCAGTACCCTTACTCAAAGTGTTTGGGTTTTTTTACCAATTTCTTTGCTGCTGATAAAGCTGGTGTGGTGATGATGGTCCTTTCCCAGGCTAGTCATTGAGCCTGTGTTGTTATATTTGCATTTATAACAATTTCTTATCTACTGGAAGTCTACTAGATTCTCTCTAATCTTCCCTTTTCTCAACTTCTTTCAACCCTTCTTTGTTAAATTTACTTGGTAAATCTCTTGTTCTTGCTGTGGTCTCCCATAGACACTCTTAAATTTGTTTACACATTAAAAGTCATGACCTAGCCAAGGCCAATGAGTTTCCCTCAATGAGTTCATGGCTTATGGGATCCCTGAAGAACTGCTTTTGTTGACCAGTTCATAAGGGGATAGAAGTGCAAAACATCAAAGTGGCTTTTTTTTAATCTCTCCCTTATAAGGAAAAAATTGCAAAGTGTGAGCACTGTTCTTTTCAGAAGAAAGGAATAAGGAGGAAAGATAAGAGCGTATGAAGATACTGTCTAAAGCAGCTTTTGAATCAAGCCAGTGAGAGTAATCACGCCTCCATTTTTAGTTGTGTCAGTTGCAAATTTGCCCGTTTTCTAAGAAATAGTTGCAGATACATTGTAGATGACTTGATTTTGCAATTAATAATATACCTGGATTTTTAGAGGACGATATAGTAGAATCCAGTGCATGTCATCATTGCTCACGGTGGTAATCCATGCAGGAATAGGCTATGATAAAGGTGTATTTGAGTCCCTTTCTTGAGCCTTAATCTTTTCTGCTTCTTCCTCCACCTTTTTAAGGTGGACTGAAGGAATGAATTTAGATAGAACTTGCTAATTCATGTGTTTCTCTCCTGTGTGAGCTGAGGACAGCCACAGCAGCTGAATAAAGTGTGTATGTGTGGTTTTACTCAATTTATAGGTTTGCCACGTGTTGAACATTCACCTTTGTAATGTGGAATCGCTTTTTTTTTTCCAGCCAAACGTGCCATGCACAGATAATGTAGCCTTTGACATGGAAAGGCTCACCAGAGGCCAGCCAGCCAGCAGGCGCTCAGCACTCGGCGATTTTGCCAATGACAGCTCGCTCAGCCTGGAGCCCCTGCGCACCTCTGGGATGTCACAGCTTCCACAGGACGGGGAGCTAACGCCAAGGTCAGGAGAGATCAACATTGCTGTGACAAGTAAGTTTTCTTTGACTCCCAGTACCATTCTGTGGGTCTCCTGGTTTGAGGCACTTGCTCTGCTGTAGCTCTGTGCTGCAGGGCCATAGCAAAAGATTTCCGTGCAAGGACAAAGGTGACCTCAGTGTCTCTGCAAGAGGCATGCGCTTCGTATTGAAACCGATAACTCTAGGTACGACAGTGCCAACACTTTCATTATTAATGGTACATCCATTTAGATCTGCATGCAAAGAACACTGGATGAACTAAAATGGCAACAAAATAACCCTCCTGAATTTGGTAACCAGTAAAAGAAGCTGGATTGCCAAAACCATTATTTAACCTTTCAGAATAATTTACATGCAATAATTTATACAAATATAAATATTTTAGCTGATTGCTATTTCTGCAGACATTTTTTCCCCTGAGAACATTGCTACTGGAATTCTGATGTCTCTTAGCAGATGTTTTTTCTTACAAAATTTGTGAATTAAAAGAAGTGTTTGATATACCAACATTTGAGTATTGTCCAAGTGTTTTATGACATCAGAACACTGTTCCTGCACTGCTTGCGAGCTCTTATCCATAAGAACAGCATGGGAAATTTCCACTCACTGGATTTTACCTAGGGTTTTTAATGTATGATAACATTGTAATGAATACAAAATGTGTGGAATTGCATCATTTTTCCATATGCTGTACAGTCTCAATTTGATGCATGAATAGCTGTTTTTCTGGCTGAATTGCAAAAATAGAATCTGTGCAGTACAACAGTCTAATTTCCTCCTTGTATTTTGCCTATGTGCATCTATGATCTAGATTCTGAACTTACTATTTGCCACTGATATAAGAGGCAGTGTAACTGATGCAGTCCATTAGAGTGCTTCTTTAGGTAATGTAGCAAAGTAAATGTCTCATTAAAAAAATCTCATTTTATGAAATACATAGTCTGTATCCAGAAATGTCCTGATCTGAGAAGGAAAAATCCACATCCAAAATCTAGATTCTTTACAAAGCCAGTAAGTCACTTTGTCATGCAGTGTTCGACATCTGATTCATCTTGCACTCAGCTCTGTTGAACAGAGAGCAAATCAGTTGGTGTGCTGCCTTCCTTGTCATGGGTGGAAAAACTCTGTAGTTTAACTGAAACTTTTCACTGCTTCATTTTACAGAATATATTTTTACTATCTGTTCCCAACTGTAGTACTGCTCTTGCACAGGTGGGATGCCAGGGTAAAAGAAGAAATGATCAGCAACAGTTCATTCTGACAATGTTTATAAAATAAAGCTTTAGAAAAGGCTGTTCAGATGTTTGGATTTTATGGATGACACATGCATTCATTGATGCATGAGAGTTAAACCAACAGCCGTATTCAACAAAAGTGTTTGTGTTCTGAACTATTACTATGTGCCAAATTGATCTTGAGGAAGGAGAACTTTGAATAGTGAACATTCTTTAATAGCCTTCTTTATATTACTATTTTTTTTATTCTGTCTGTATGTATACACTAATGTTGAAATTAAATCTTCGTGTTTTATTCCTGTATATTAAATGGAAAACTCTAGTTATGTTTTACTGTTGAACAAGCTATCCTATTTTTTTTTTGTTTTTTTTAAAGTAGCACTATAGCATTTATTCAGGAGGGAGGGGGCGAAGACACAAGTTAAGTGTGAAAGTATATTGAGTATGCTTATGTGAAGAGCCGCATCTCAGCAAATATGAACCAACCCTGACAATCTTTTTTCTGACTTGGGGGCGGACAGAGTTTTCATTACATTTTCCCTTGTTCCTGCATTTCACTTTACATTGTTAAATAATCTTTCCTTATCACTAACCCTTGGGCTCAGCCGGGAAATATTGTTGTGCCATGCTTTTTTTCCACACCTTTCTCCACTTCTTCTTTGCTAGCCTTCTCCAGTCAGTAACTCTGTGGCTAACCTTCTGCTTCACCTCCTGGTGCCAGTCATGGCTTAGAAGCCTCTTGCCTTCCGCCAGTGGTGTTTGAGGGAAATATTGCCATCGCTTTGACATAAGCCTTCTCCCACGAGTGATTTCCTCCCTTTCCTTTGTCAACAGAAGAATGGTTTATTATTGCCAGTTTTGGCCTCCTCAGTGCCCTTACACTCTGCTACATGATCATCAAAGCCACAGCTAGCTTGAATGCTAATGAGTAAGTAAATATTCAGATGTTTCTCTGTATTTCTGGCGGGTGTGTGTTGTGGACAACATTGGGAACAAATACCAAGAGAATAGAGAAGGGGAAAAAATGCAGTTTTCAAAGAATCAAATGCCTTTTCTGCTTTTCTCAAATGTAAGTCTCTCTGTTTACAGTAGATTCCAGGGTAACATCTAAAGTCCCTTTTATATTTAGCTGGACTGCCCGAGGAAATCTCCTTGCTAAGTGGAAACATGGAATGGGGAAAAGAGAGAATACTTATATTCAGTTTTTGATCAATGGTCTAGGTAAACATTACATTTCTGCCATTAAATCCATATGTTCAAAATTTACCTGGCAGAGCCAAAAGCTGCTACCATTGGTTACCTTTGACAGTTTTCACCTCGGTTTCATAACCAAATTTCCTATTAAAAAAAAATATATCTATATTGTTAGTTGTCACACTTTCAGCTAAGAATAAAGGTATTAAGACAGGAAACTACCTTTTTGCTCTTAGGAGAGGGACAGATGAAAGCAATGAATACACTGCTGTTTCTTCTTTCAAGTGAAGAGAGCCAATCAGTCTTCTCACCTCTCATTTTAGTATGCTTAAGAATTGCAGTCAAAGAAGTGCTTAAAGATATCCACGCTTTCTTAATTTTTATAGACACCCCCAGTGCCTCCCTTCAGACAGGCTGGACAAGAAATTACTCTAGCATGTGACTTTCTGTCTTTTTTTATAGTCCTGTGTGTGGGCAAGTATAAATCTGTTCTGCAGATATATTAACTAGGTACATCTAGATATTTTCATTTAGGTGTACAGAACATCTGGGCTCATCATATATGTTTAATCATAATTTATTTATTTGGGGAGGGAAAGTGTCAACATCTTTCTCTGTCTCTGAATGTTTTGATGCAGCTGAGTTTCCATTGTGTTGATCTCTTACCAAAAGTGAGGTGAGATTCAAAGGCAGTCTCCTGTGCAGCCTGGAAATATAGCTTTATAAACATGATTTACTTTTTTTCTTTTTTTTTCTTTTTTTTTTTCTTTCTTTTTTTTTGAGGTAAAAGTGTTTTTTTTTTTTTACTTCTGTTGCTGTCTGGAAAGTATAAGGTGTCCTCTTCAATAAGATGGAAACATGTCTAATAGTCTCCAGTCTAAAAGTTTAGACAGTCTCAAGCTAATCTTCTTCAGGAGAGGCCATAGTAAGTTCTTAGAGGTTTTGGTCATCCGGGATCTTTGATTACCACCAATTTGCAAATCTTTCTTTCCTCCTCTTTTCACATGCTAATTCCCAAAAGTTTTAATGAAGAAAAGTTTTAGAACTTCAAATAGCCCTATCAAATCTCCTGATTATTTTTTTTCCATTTGTTAAAACTTTGAAATTGCAACTATCAGTCAGCAACCTGGCAGCATAGCTGTAGCTAGCTGAACACAGTTAACCTGCACTGAAAAATAGCTTGGGAAAGCATGAAGGAAGACGATTAGTGGAACAGGAATGTCTGCATTTCTGGGTATTTCCACATCATTAGGAAGAAGACAAAGGAACTGCATCCCATGTAGTATCATCCAGATGTGGGCACTGATAACAGTTGCATTTCTGCCTTGCCTTGCAACTCTTCTTTTTGTTGGCTTTTGCTCTGTCAGATCTGGGTCTGTTTTCACTGAAAGGGCAAGTTTCTTCACACTGGCAGAGTTAGGGCCTCCAGCAAAGTGTTTTCACAGTTGTGCTCCCTTCGTACAAACAAAGGGCATGCTGATGTACGGAGAGATAGGAATGAAAATATGAGCATATACAAGTGTCTACTTTGAGGCAGACTTAAGAAAACCAGCAACTGCAGGAACCAGAGCTGTCAAAAAATCACTTACATAGGTAACTGAGGTACCTTGCTGTATCCTTTAACCTCAGCAGCATTTCAACTGAATCCTGTGGGATCTAAGCAGCCTCCACAAGTGCTGCTAGGTTTGACTACTCATTTTAGACAGCTTAAAATATCTGTGTATTACACTAATTGCTTAAATTTATTGTTTATTTATTTATTCATTGACACCTTATGTTCCCCAGTGACAGACAAAGCATTTCCTGTGCTGAATATCATGCCAAATATATGGCAGCTCCCCCTCACTGGAATTTCCATTAAATGTCATAACAGCATACCTGCTTTTTATGCTGTTCTCCATATAAAAAGTGATGCTGGTGTACCCTACATTTGCTATGGTAGTGTTTCAAGAGGAAGCTGATGGTTTTTTCTTATCAGAAAACAACAGTAGCAAGAATGAGGCCACATAATATGCTGACGCAAGTAAAAGTTGCCAAATACTCTGCATTAAAAGTCACTTAAAAACATGTCCTGATCTTTTTTTCCTATGTTCTTCCCACAGCTTAAACATATTTATTTAGAGCAATGGTTCTGGAGTTTTGTGTGTGTGTGTATATATGTATCTCTAACTGTGTATATATTTGTTTGTGAATATGTATATACACATGCACATGCATTTTTAAATAGTTCCTGATAAAAGTAAACACTGAGATAAGAAATTAAGGAACCAGCCGCTTTCTCTTGGGTCTCATAATTTTCACGCATTATTACTATTAAATGATTTAGGTAATGAATTAAAGGAACAAAAGGAAGCATGTTCTGCTTTGCTTCTTAGGAAATGGTCAGAAATTACTGTATAACTGTGTTTTAAAGTCCAAAAAGCCCAGCTGTTGGATAACACCACTTAGAGAAAGTTTTCAGTAGCAGATGGAGTTTCCTCAAAAGTTTAGAAGTGTTTAAACTGGCTGTCATCTCTGTTTTACTGATCTTGTAAGAATGATGTAAGGAGCACAGACCTCTTTCAGTGCTCTGGCCTTGTATAAT